CTGAAAAACTGTCTTTGAAAAATAAATCTGTTCTTTTTTTCTTATGAAAGGTTAAATAAAACAAAAATATTGGTGGTAATTTTTGACAGTGTAACTTAAAAATGGCACCACATAATTTCTTCTTCTTGTGACCCCACTTGTTGATAACAGAAAATAAAAAAATATTTCCAAAGATGACCTCACAAATAGTTTTAATAWTATGGTGGAAAATTTTTTCAGTTGCTGATTTATTATCTTGAAATTTTGTCATATTTATCATGATCTCAAACTTGTCAGTTATGTTTTAGTAACAGGTACTGCATCAAATCCCTAATCTGGATTGAAACTGATAAAACTACATTTTTCCTCTAAAGATAATTGTAATAAAACAAGTTTATTTATCGTTGACTCTGTAATTGTACAAACACAGAAGTGAGTAAAGTCWACTGGGTTTGTTTTAACACAAGTCTTTCCCAACATGTTTAAAATGATATTTGTAATATCTMTGCTCCCACTGGAGAAACAGTTAAACATGTAAAAAAAAAGTGTTTATGAATGAGATGAGAATTTCTGTATGACTTTCAGAAGTTTTATTTACAGAGCTCAGTTTTTCTTTACTAAGACCTGTTTAAAGTGCTGACCATCTGAAATCAGACTGAGTATAATCATGTGTTCTAGACAGGGGCGGTTCTAGGGGCGGGGCCACAGGGGCACTGGCCCCAGCTGAAATCTGATTGGCCCCCTGAAGAGCCCCTGTCCTGTCACTCATCTGTCCTTTACCTGGGAGTGATGATGGTGGATGCAGTTCCAGGTTCAAACACTAGAGGCGCTAATGAGTCACATAGTAAAGTCCAGAATGAATCAAGCTGACAGAATTCTTCTTCTCTTCTTAAAATGTGAACAATCCTGAAAAAGTCTTTCAACTGACAAATTATAGCTGGATTTTCTCACATGTGTGTTTGAAAATATTTTATCTATGTTCAGTAAAACGTATGAAAAACTGGTGATGAGTATTTACTGTGCAGGATTTTTGGTACCACTTTACAATCAAGCTCCCCTTATTGATGGCTTATAAAGAGTTTATAGATAGGTTATTAATTTATTTTTAACGTTTACACTTCATAAATCATTAATAAATGAAACTGGACAATTTTGTCTCKTTCTCATCCTTAATTATTGAATAATAAACACTTCTATAAACACCTATAAACTCTTTAAAAGCCATCAATAAGGCGGGCCTTATTGTAAAGTGGTACCTGTTTTTAAAAAATTACATTACGTGTTTGAAGTGTAAAATGTATACACTGGGAATTTGTGTGAAAGGATGTTGAACAAAGACTTTGAGGCCCCTCTATGAATATTGTGGCCCCTTGATGGCCCCTTACTCAGAAAAATCCTAGATCCGCCACTGGTTCCAGATTCATCCAATGATTGTTTACTGGGAGTTTCTTTAAAATCTGTCCAGTGACTCCTATAATATAATACTACCAGACAAATACATGTGAGGCTGCACACACACACACACACACACACACACACA